GTACAAACACAGCCAGTCACGACAGATTATAGTGTTAAACGTAGAGAGCTTTTTGCCCGCTTAGTGCGTCACTTTCACAAGCATAATCATAAGACAAATTCCAGAGACATGAGATACATTGATCAAACTTTCATTCACTCTACACGTCCTCAGAAACCTTAAGGGAATGGGGCGGGGGGTATATATTATATAATATATTGAGGGGTTAAAGGTGTCACCAGGAGCTGACAGCAAGGAGACAAGACATCACCAGAAGCAGCCAGTACTTGCCATCATAGCTACCGGGGGGAACAACTCGTAAATGCAGCTGTCAATTCTTATGACTAAGATTTTGACATTCATGTGGTTAACTAATCAGTAACCAAGAATGGGCACACAATCGTTGTTGTATTGGGGTTTTTTTTTCCTGAGTTTGAGGCAGCGACGCACAGGAAATCCTGCACTTGAACTTGTATCTTAACCAAACACGGAATATAACTTCAGGACTTTTTTACAGCGAGATATAAAAACATAATTCCTGAATACAGAACAACTCCTGAGTCTGCCCATCCCTGGCACAGGAATAAGGAAAAAGTGTAAGCTATATATATAGTCAAGGCCCTCCTCTTGAAGCATTATCTTTTTATACAAAGGTCCCAATACATGAGTGATGAAGCAAATACAAAGCACCAAGACTACACCTCAGACTAGGCAACGTTCACAGAGCACATAGTTGAGCTTCATCTATGCTTATTAACTCATTCGCTACGTACTCGTATTATTTTCGGCTTGGGGACACATTTTTTTCGGGAGGGCAAAATGAGATGATGACTAGTGCGCAGTCCAAAGGTCTTTGGGGCCAAAAATTCAAATAAATATCAACATCGAAAATACCAAAATTTTCAGTATGGTTTTTAGAATACACCTGTAATGTTTATTTATTTATTTTTCAACTTTGGTTCCTGTAAGAGGTGATTATGCAACACAATTTTGCTTGGATGCAGATAAAATTTGAAAATAAAAATTAATAGGCCTAATCTTTGGTGAAACTCCAAAAATATCTTTGCACCTAGTCAAATGATACATCAAAATAACCATAAATGAATATAGAACTGAAAAATATTGAAAAACTTGCAGTTATTTTCATTCATTCCATAGAATTTGTACATTTGGATCATAACATCCGATACTGAAATTTTTTTTTCTTTTTATAATCTTGAAAAAAGGACCAGATGCATTCACGAACAGAAAAAAACACTCGTATCATATATGGAATTATTCAGAATAGCATTTGGAATAAACCTATACTGTCTTGAGTGGTATGTTTGGTGTAATTTCACCAAAAAGTAGTGATTTTGGGGAGAAAAAAAATATTTTGACAATTTAGATCTAGACCAAAAATATTGATTTCTCAGTAACACTGCTGGCAATTTGAGTCCAATAGTATCAATATTCTACAGAAGAGTCCTACATTTCTCCAGTGAGCAAAAAATGATACATTTTGTTGTGCTAAAATACTAAGACTGGTGTCTGGGCTATAATGTGGGCATCCCGATAAAACAAATTCGCATAAACTATGAAATCACGTTTCAAAACTGAATCAAAACTTCCCAATTTCGGTGGAAACGTTTAACTCGGAAGTCAATATTATATTATAACCTTTATTTTAATAAGGATATGTGGATTGGAATAATATCTAAGCTAGAATTATAGGTCGGTTCTCGAGCCGTCAGGGGTGGTTTGCCGTAGTGAAGTCACTTTCGCCGCGCCGCTGCCCACGGAACGGCGTAGCGAATGAGTTAAGAAGGTGCTGCGACAGGAAAAGAAAAACACTGGAATGTAAAGTGCAACCACCAGCCTGTAGTCTCTGACGTAACAAAAACAAAGGCAGCCGGTATTTTCGCAACATGTCGTGGGGAAAAAAATCTATGCGCACCGGGAAAAAATTTTTGCGTGCGTTTTCACGACCTGTCGTGGAAAAAAAAGGCTATGCATGTTTTCACGACATGTCAAAGACATTGCGGCTCTTACCGCAGAGGTCTAGGCCTAGGCCTATTAGCTAAAATACACATTTTTTGGGGGGGTACATCTAGATCTAAATCTAGTTTCTCATTTTGCACCTGTTTTAGCTCTACCACCATTCCGATTAAGGTGTCAAACTACTTTTTTTCCACATGTGAAAATACCGGCGGCCAAAAACAAATTAACACGCTGTTGGACGATGTTCTTCTTTTCACACGCTGACACTCACAAACAAACACACCCAAACACAGACACACCAATATACACATCGCCAGGAAAGTCACAGAGTGCTGGTAAAAACTAGAATTTAAGGAAATAGAGGTGAGGGGTACATTAGATAAAGCTGTTAATATATAATATATATGTCATGTGTTCAACAGAAAACGCAAGGAAAAATGCATTCATTTTCATCACTGTATAAAGTTAGAGAAAGGTGAGACATTTCCCCTGATGACAACAAAACAAAAACAGGATATATAGTCGTCCCATTGGTTTGATTGCAGCTACAGTTCTGTACAAGTTACTCAAGAGTCACATGTGTGGAGCAGGGTGGTAGGTGCAAGTAGACCCACTTTTTGACATGCACAAGCACACATCCTCATTGATACTTCGGTGCACACTAGCAAGCAGACCTATCGTCTCCGTTATACAGAAAATTCTAAGCCCCCACACATACACTCATTAGACAAAATAATTATCAAAATAAGTATGGGACTCAAAACCCATTATAAGTTGTAATCTAACAAACACATACACACACAAATGAAGACAGAAATGACTAAGGTGAATCCAGTCAAACACTTTTATCCATGTCTGCTCCCTGGAAACCAAGTGTACAACACAAACCCAAGGTAGAAGCTAGGGTTGTCATAGACACAAAGGCACTCATATCACAGGAATGTGATAACAGACCAACGGTCAGATGTCCTTTAACTGACTTTTCAGAGCTAGGAATATTCAAAAGTTAAAGCAATGTAGTAGTCCAATGCAGCTCCACTCAAACGCTTACACAATTTCACAATATGTGTGTGTGGGCCTATCAATAGAAGCATACAGCATGTCTGCCTGTTAAGCCCAAAACCTTAAGTACCTGTCTGTTGGGACCGAGGTCAAAGAGGAAAGTAATATTCCTAAAATATAGCAACAAGTTTTTTGGTGTTTTTTTAGTAGAGGTTTACGGCGCTCGCAAATGCATAAGGTCATATGAGCGCCAGAAGATTAGAGGTATTACAAGAGAGTAAACTAGTAACAAGCATAAAAAAGAAGGGGGGGAGATAAGGGTGACAGATGTTTGATAGGAGAGAAGAAGCAAACCACAACAAGTCTGTCAAAGCCTCAAGTACAAGCCCCCATCGCGACAATACCAGTCCACCATAAGAGAATAAGGGGGTAAAATTGCTTGTTTTAGAAAGAGTTTTACAGCACTTGCAACACAATTAGGCCATATAAATGCCGAAGATTAGAGGTGTTACAAAGGAGTAACAAACCAAAAAAAGAAGGAAAGACGTTTGATAGGAAAGAAGGAGCAGATCACACCAGAGCATCCATCAACCACCCACAAGAGAAAAGGCCACTTGCTTGATGTTCCATAAACAAAATCTCTGGGCAGGACACATAACATTTTTTAGGCTTTCTCACATGATGGAGAAGAAGGGGGGATGATAACATGGCACAAGAGGAACACACAAATAGATACAGCGCACAAAACACACATACAAAACACAAACGCACTTCTGTAGTAGCCTGCAGCACTTTGATATATATATATTCCATGTTCACACTAGGGAGTGCCATCAGGTTTCAATAAAAATATATATATATATATATATATTTATATATGTTCATGATTTATTACTGTAAGAATACTCTGTACTCCAACAAGAAAAGACTAACAGTACAAGGAATCAGTAATAAGGAAAGTTTTTTTGACTGGGGATAAATTAACCGCACCATTTAGAGCTGTGCGTGTATCGCACATTTCAAGATAAGATGTACATATAAAAATCACAATTGCAAAAATCTAGTTACAATTAATTTTGATGTATATTACATTGCGTACAGAACAGTTTTGTGCAAAAGAACAAACCGCAGGATAAAAACATGCAAGCCTACACTATCCATGTTGAGAGCTTTGAGTGCATTGCAACATTTGACTGTCCAAAAGATCATAGGGTGGTGAGCTGCCACTGATGGGGACATGACATTGAACGGACCAAAGTCCCTCTGAGGTCAGATGCAACCTTCACACCTCCGCTAACCCTGGCTTTTGGCTTGGGTTTGATGTCCTACTAACTTCAAAATGGCTGATCCCAGGCCTGAATAAAAAAGAATACGGGTACGGCAACAGGTCGGCAGCAAATGTCTTCTGTGTGCGATGGCAAAGCGTTTAACTGCTACATCCCTGATGTTGGTGGAAACAGGTTGAGACACAAGGAACCCTTGAAAAGAAGAAGACTCCTAGACCAGTTCACTTATCAAACAGCCACGGTGACAAGCATATTTTAAAGTCAATATGAATCTCAAAGAGAGGGTGAAACAAAGGCCACAGTTCACAAAATACAAACAATTTGAGGACATTTGACAAGAGGAAAGGATAAAAATATTTCTGATCTATAAACATTTTCACAGAGAACCAAGGGTACAATAAATATACACATTTCAAGTGCAGTGATAACTTATAATGGAAATGTGACAAAAAAGTTTTTAAAAAGTCTCATAGAAAAAAAGAAAGATCTGTCTTCCATGTCCTCTGTGTTCCATGTCCCACATAGGCATAAAACACAGGGACCAACAGTGATATCACATCCTGCTGGATATATAGAACTGTGAGGACTCCGAGGCGGGGAGCCACTGGACTGAAGAGGTAAGACAGATCTTGATAGACACCGAGTCCTCAGAGTCGACTTTGAGTGTGCGGAAGTCATGACACGTCATCTAGCAAAAGACATGATGCTCCAGGCACACACACATGCACGGAGTCGCCCAGAGGTCAAGGACAGTTAGAACTGAGCAGGCAGAGGCATTGGGACAGAGGGGGGCTGCAGAAGGCCGTAACGTTGCTTCTGTTTCCTCTGTTCTGTCATCTGAAAGGAAGGAAATACACAATAATTAGAGATTGGTGGGACCTAGGACAGAAATTTGTTATCTCTGCAAAGGCGAGCATGACAGCAAAATTGCGATAAAATGGGATTTTTAGTTAAAGAACGAGTTTTACTGCACTAGCAACACCATTAGGTCACATAAAAGCCGAAGATTAGAGGTGTTACTAAAGTAAAGTGTAACATGCAAAGAAACGAAGAAGAGATAATTATAAGGATGATACATGTTTGATAAGAAAGAAGGAGCAAACCACGACAGAGCACCCACCAAAACACTGCCCCCCCCCCCCCCCCCCCCCCCCCCCACACACACACAAGAAGGAAAATATAGATCTACAGATCGTTAGGACAAAACATAAGAATATATTGTTACTGTACACATGTGCATGAATAGCAAAATCATGATAATCCGATGACAAAACACACACACAAGAGAAATTGAGCAGAACACTGGTAGCTTCAAACACAAAACTAGACAAAAAGCACGGTGTAAAGAGAGAAGAGAAAAAGGTCTGCTCAGAGAGGGAAAGGAGAGAGAGGGAGGGAGAGAGAGAGGGAGAGAGAGAAAGAGAGAGGAGGACGAGAGATAGAGAAGACAGAAAGAGAAAGAGAGAGCAAGAGAGAGAGGGCGAGAGAGGGCGAGAGAGAGAGAGAGAGAGAGAGAGAGAGAGAGAGAGAGAGAGAGAGAGAGAGAGAGAGAGAGAGAATTAAAAGTCAGAGAGAAATCTACCTGTTCCTTGAGCTCAGTGAGTTGCTGAGACAACTTCTGCACCAGCTGAGTGGTCACATCCAGCTGGAGCTGTAGACTGCGGATCTCATTCTGTTCTCCCTCACTGTCCTCTGCCGCCAGCGACATGGCCCGCATGCGAGGGAACCACTCAAGGTTACGCTCCTGAGGAGGTGGGTTTGAGTTTGAGAGTAAATTTTTACTGCACTATTGACACAATAGGGTCCCGAGGAGAGGGAAGTTTGAGACACAGGGAAACGTATAATCTTAGTAACTCTTTTTATCTATAGCAAAATAATTCAGATTGAAAGACAAAGACTGCACCGCCGTCACTATAAGGTTCCGAGGAGAGGGAAGTATAAGTTACAGAGAAGCAAATTATCTAAGTAACTGCCCTTTTGTCTGTAGCAAAATAATTCAGATTGAAAGACAAAGCAGTGAGGTATGGAGAAGAAATAGGACCTTCCACTGCCATCCTCCAGTCCCAGCACAATCAAATGACCAATGACCGACATACTGACATGATTAAGTATGGCGTAGTGCTACACAAAGCAATCGGATTCGAGCTTAAGGCCTGACATTATGTCCTTGGGAAAGGCACTTTATACAAATTTTCCTCACTTCACCCGTCTAGGAATGGGTATGCGACCATAGACAGAGAAAGATCTTGTTAGTATGTTAGTGCTTTAGCATAAAATGGCAGCTTGCACTGTTTGCTTCCCAGGAAATTGGGATTGTTTTAGAATGCTATCAGGTCTGCTAGGGTAAAATATAGATTGTAAAAAACATACAGCTTGGTGCTGAGCAGGAATTTGCGCTATGCAAAGCTTACTATGATTATTATAATTATTATTGTTATTATTATAATTTAGTGTGTGTGTGTGTGTGTTTGTTGTGTGTGTGTTTGTGTGTGTGTGCGTGAATCCAAGTCAGCACACAAGCACATTAATTTAACTACACGTCGAGGTGGTAGCCTCGTAGGCTGGGACCCTGACCTTTATCATGGCATCGACGTAACTCTCCGGTCCCGTGAACTCCGTGGGGTCCTTCACACGGACCAGAACGATGAAGTAAAGGTAGTGCCACATGTTGTGCTCATGCTTGATGTGGTCCTCAAATGTCACAGAGCGGTTGTCGAACGAAGAGCGCTCCAGTCCTGAAAAATACAAAAACATGCGTAACAGGCACACACCTATCTGTCCCCGTCGTTTTATGCAAGAAAAATTCTGAGATTATGCAAACTGAGCTCGAAAATGTGAAATTATACGATTCTGTTAATTTTAACAAAGAATGATAACGGAAAATAATCAGAAATTATGCAAAAAATGATCAAATTTTGCTAAATTATACTGGATGCATAAAACCACGGGGACAGACCTATACACATCCATACAATAAACAAAGTCACATAATAATGTATTACAAAATATGTATATTATCACTGTTGGAAAAAAACCCAGAGTCACTCCATCTGACCCTACTTAACATCTTGGGTAAAATACATTAAAGTTCTTTTTTTTTGTTTTTGCTTTTTGTTGGGTGGTTGTTTGTTTTTTGGGTTTTTTTGTGACAGCGGCAATATTCATTAGTATATTATTTTTCCTTTATGTTTGTGTGCAATGAGCACCTCAATGTGGGTGATGTTTTAATGTACTGTACCAAAAAAAAAAAGTTTTATATTATTTGACATGCACTAGAAGAAAAGGTAAAATTTTCTCAACCTGATATGGGGATGGGCAAAGAAATTCTTTAATTTTTTTGTCAGGAGCACAGAACTGCTCTCGAACTTTCATCAGCGCTTGTCAGCAGAGAAGTAATGCTTATAGCTTACATTAGGAGCTCAACAGCTGAGAAGTAATGCAGAGAGTTTATAAAAGGTGTTAGTCAGCTGAGAAATAACACAGATAACCTATATCAGGGGCTTTTCAACTGAGAAGTAACAATAATAATAGAGGCTTGTCAGCTGAGAAGTAATGCACATAGCTTGTATAAGGGTCTTGTCACCTGAGAAAATAACACAAGATGTGCATTGCCTAGCTAACTTGTAGTAAAAATAAAAAGGCAAGCACCTTATCCGAGAATAACTAGGGTCTTCCCCACAAAATGAGACGAATGACACACAAGATGTCACTCACCACAAATAAAGCAGGTGTTCCTCAGGATCTCATCTTTAGTCTGCTTCTCACTCCTGAGGTCGGCGAAAGTGTCGATGATGACACCAAAGATGAGGTTGAGGACAATGATGATGACAATGAAGTAGAAGAGGAGATCGTAGATGACCCGGGCCAAGAACAGCGGCTCCTGTAGTGGGGAAACACAGACATGGGACTGTCAATGTGGGCATATATGCATTGTACCGCAAAAATAAAGAAACTAGGGTGGCATTATTTATGTTACCGTGAAATAAAGTAACATGGACAAAGCATGTTACTGTAAAATAAAGTAACATGGAAACAACATGTTACTGTAAAATAAAGTAACAAGCTGTCACAATAAAATAAAGTAACAAGGTCAGCGTTTTACTGCAAAATAAAATTAAGTAACAAGGATGGACACTCTTTGAGGTATGGATACTTGAAAAAACAATTCATTATGATCATTTACAATCAATTTACTACAACATGTTTACTACTGGCCTTTGTCGAGGTGAGTAAAAAAATATGGGAAGATTTTCAAGCCCTCACTGAGATTTTTCTCCCTTTCAGTGGGACTGTCAAAATCTGATCAGTATTCTTTGAGAGGGAGGGAGGGAGGGAGGGAGGGAGGGAGGGAGGGAGAGAGAGAGAGAGAGAGAGAGAGAGAGAGAGAGAGAGAGAGGGAGAGAGAGAGAGAGAGAGAGAGAGAGAGAGAGAGAGAGAGAGAGAGAGAGAGAGGGGGGGGGGCAGTAGACAGATGGACAAATAGATAGAGAGGCAGAAACTGGAAGGGAGGGCAAGACGAAAATGTCCCATACCTGAGAAGTAGAAAAACTTCACATACAGGTGTAACATAATGTAATTTCCAAATGCTGATTACATCACAGCTACTCACATTCTTGCTGGGCTTGCGCAGCACATCACCGATGCCGCCGCCATTGCGAAGACCCTGGTTCAGGCTGGTAATGATACACATGATGAGCGAGTCGCAGGCACGCATCTTGTCTCCGTCCTCCTCCACGGCAGACTCCTTCAGACCCCCTGCAGATATATTCGTATAAGGCACTAGCACAACACGTCTGTCAGCTGGGTAATCGAAGGTTTTTCATATGTCACGACGTGGTAGGATCAGGCGCTCGTCAATTGGCGTGCATGTGAAGTTGTTGGTATCACCTTAAAGCTTGTTCATTTGACTATCTTTCGTTGAAAAAAAATCACATCTATCTTGAATAGAAGTCGAGATATTTGTGATTAAAAGAGGTGGGGGTCGCCTAGTTTTAGAGGTAAAATTAGCATTAAAATGGCTGTCAAAGTCTGGTGACTTTTAAAGTTTTAGAGTCCCTGGAAAATGTAAATGTACATTTTTTCCGTGCCTTTAATCAACATTTTGCAGTAAAATCCACACAGCAATGCATTCTAAAATGGACATAAAAGGTACGGAGCCAAAATATAAAAATTCGATAAAAATTGCCAAAAGGGAAAAAAGTGTCAGTATCTTCGACTTCATTATTTTGATGAGCGCCTGACTTCACCACGATACCTCACATTTCTTGGTTTATTAAACTGGAATGACACCAAATTTCAATGGTACTGGGTCAGTGACTTGAGAAACTACACAGCCGAGAGTTCAAAGTGTCTTTATTATTCAGAAAAGAATACAAAACTACTCATCTTTTCAGTATCTAAGGGAAGAGAAAGTATGTTACAAGTATTTAAAATTGTTCTGCCCGACTCCTTACGTGTCTGAGCAAGGATGAAGGAGAATGAGACTGGCAGTCTCACAATGAACCTCGATTTTTACTTTTTTATTATCAAAAAGTACACCTGATGACTCACTCAGAGGTGTTTTCTCTCTGTGTGTGCAAAGAACACAGGCTCAATGTGTGCATGTGAGAGCACAAGTAGTTTTTCTTTTTGTTAGGTGGGGATTGTGCTCTCACTTCATCAAGCAAAACAACTTGGCCTCAAAACTAAAAGAAAGTAAAAAAATTCTACAAAACCAATACTTTCATGCAAGACTTTGATCAACGTCACTATGCACTTTTGCTGTTGTCGCAGCCTTATGGGAGGCTTTCCACTCAAGAATAGCATAAGTGTAAAGAAAAGGGCAAGTTCACACATACAGATGTAAGTCAGAGAATGACAAGACTGCATATCCCAGTATTTACTGACATTCAGTGCTCCGAAGTATCTGAGAGATAAATTTACTACAGTCAGTGCTGTGAAGGATCTGAGAAATTTACTTACAGTCCCTGCTGTGAAGTATTTGAGAGATTTACTTACAGTCAGTGTTTACTTACACAGTCGGTGCTGTGAAGTATCTGAGAGATTTCCTTACAGTCCGTGCTGTGAAGTATCTGAGAGATTTCCTTACAGTCAGTGCTGCGAAGTACCTGAGAGATTTATTTACAGTCAAAGCTGTGAAGTATCTGAGAGATTTACTTACAGCCAGTGCTATGAAGCATGAGAGAGATTTACTTACAGTCCATGCTGTGAAGTATCTAAGAGAATTACTTACAGTCAGTGCTGTGAAGTATCTGGGAGATGTAGGACTCTTGAGTCTCTGTACAGTTGCTGCCATCTGCTGCACATGTCCGGTTCTCTGAGAGAGACAGAACAAAGACCATTTGTGACGGGTCGTTACATAACATAGGTACAGTGGTAGGAACTGTTTATGCAAGACAGTATCAGTGTATATAAAACATAATGTCATTGCAGTTTGCTATCTGCGTATGAAACAAAATTTGAAAACATCGGTCATATGCCATTTGAGTCAATCTAACCAAAGCACAATCTTAAAAATCAGCTCTCACATTATAATTTGAAACAATAATTCATGACAACTTAAACATTATAAAAATCAAGAGGTTAAAAGGCATATTAGACTAATAAAAAGTTTTTGCACGTTTTCTCAAAAGTATCTAAATGCTCCTTATGCGGATAGCGAAATGCACTGACGATAAATCAACACCTACACCCCTATTTGACACAAGTGTCAGCATATACATGCACACACTCAGTGCTTTATTTATATCACATTTAAACAGCCATGACTTTTTCTGACTCTCTATAGCCTAAAAGCATTGAGCAGGTCACAACCTCCATAATGAAAACAATCTCCATTTCCCCTGTCAGAGCTCAAATGCAGCCATTGCCCTGTAATGCTCAAAGCAGGTTAAAAAAAAGTAAACATTAAACAGAAAACAAATCTTGGAAAAAATATGGTAAAAGAAAAATAACAAGCCACAGAAGGTGTTTGAGAATAGTCCAAAACTTTCCCCCCAATAGACCAGTGAGAGAGTCGTAGGCCTAATGTGTACCATATAACAACGTAGATTATATGTCAGAGAATGTCAAATATACACAAGATACAAAAACTATACCAAGATTGATACAGCTACCATTCTGAATGATCAAATATGGCTGTTGTACTCATCTCTACAAGCTCAGAAGCTTTAGTTTTTTATTTTATAGTTCAGCTATGTATGTTAACAAAAATCCTGAGCCTTTTCTGTAGTTTTTGTTCAACTGCATAAACTTACGCACACTTTCTTTATTTTTTAATTTAAAATATTTCTTTTTTAAATTTTATTTCCTGAAACATTTATACAATTCTGAATTTTAAAAAAAACAACAGTGTATTTCCTGACCAGGCAGTGTGGTGTTTCCCTGTTGCTCTGGCAACAGCGGTAGGGCTTGTGACTCCACCTCCATGAGGAAGTCGTCCTGGAAGCTGATGAACCCGACGATGGAGAACAGGTAGATGAGGATGAAGGCCAGCACCGCTGTCAGGATGATGGAGCGCCCGTTACGGGTCACTGACTTCATTACATTTAGCAACGTCTCCTCACGCTGGATCACATCCAAGAGCTGACGAGACACAAAGAGGTATTAAGTTGATTTTATTAATTTGAAAGGCCTATGGCCCATACATCCACACATTATAACATACGACTTGGCAAAAACATGATTTGGAGACATGAAGAGGACAATGTTATGATACCACATACAGGAAGAGGCAGCAACAGCTTACTGAGAAGAAAGACCATCTTAACCTGTTTGACTTTAATTTTACCATCTGTTTTTCCTCTTTTGTTAAACAAGGACCACTTGGCCACCTCACAACATTTCTGAACAGTAACTCTATATTTTTGTTATGCGTCTCAGCTGCTGATTAGACATTTTAACTTTTATTTCACTCCTTTTACTGTTTTCAAGTGCTTTCAAATTTTGTACGCTAGAAAAAAAAATCTAGAATCTGGTATAAAATATTCATCAGTGGCTCTATTTTTCTTTAAAATATTGATACTTCAAAAGCTTCTGACTGGCCATATTGTTGGAAAAGTCACAGTTGGCCTTCGGAAGGTCAAGAAAATATAATGAAAGCTGTAAATCATTTATATTTGAAGGTTGAAAGTTTGAAATTTTGGACTTGAAAGCATTGTTGACATCTTATTGACTTCATTCATAAAATCAAAATCTCAGATCAGGTTGGTGATATCTCATATGTTCTTTTAGCATCTGGCACACACTCACCAGTAAACTGAAAAAGAACTCGTGGCAGAAAAAGCCGAGGGCACAGAGCAAGAAGTACCCGATGTGGTAGACCATCTCAAAATCAGAAAGGATCTCGTTGACTGGCTTAATGAGAACACCTCTGTTGCCCAGGAGACTCACCATGAAGACAAACTTGTTGACCAGCTGAAAAAACATAGATAATTTTTTATAATTTAGGCAAAACACATAGAGTTGGCTGTTGACTGGGGATATGCGCGACACAGATCGCTACCACAAAATTACAAAGTGCTATCTGCTCAGTACCTAGTTTTGAGAAATTTGCCGAAAAAAAAATTTTGAGTTCCACAATATGTCAAGCTAGCTTTTTCAAATGTAATTCTTTGCATATCTTGATAATGAATCCAAACAATCTTACCAATTTGATAGAGGAACTAGAACATTTGGTTTCTGACCTCATGGTCTGAGTAACGCAAAACGGCTGAAAATACTAGACAGAACTTTGTAATTCAAAGGTAGGGAAATGCTATTTATCATGACTATTATTAGAGACATGGCAGTTACTGGCACTGGCAGAGAAGCAGCAAAGTCACGACATTTTCATCACACAGGTTCAGAGAGGTAGCAGAAGGGCTGGGGAACCATGTTTTGTGAAGTTGTATTCTATGCTGGTCTAGGCCATGCTGAGACAGCATGTATATCTGCTTAACTGAGACCATATCTGCTAAACTGAGACAGCATGTATATCTGCCACATTTGGCCACTGGCCTTGCTGGTTGGTGAACTTGACATGGGTAATAGTTGGTCACAACCATTTCGCCTGAAAACTTTCAAACGCATAGCATCTCAAGGGGCTTTGTCTAGAAAGACTATTCGAATCACCCCTGTACTGTTGATTTATGCTCGAACTTGAGAGCAGCAGAGTTAAAAAGTTGGACTTTTTAAAACAGTTGTCAGGTAAATGAAAGAAACCCGTGCTTCACGAGATCGACGCTTGTCCAGTCAAGGGCGGTTGTCGCAGGCTGCCGGCACGTGGCGGCTGGCTTTCTCTTGCTGGAATTTCCTGCAACAGCTGGCAAACTTTTACCCATGGAACTTGACCTACACACTGACATTTGGGGGGCCTAATTTGAAATGGGGCTATGAAGCTATTTCTCCTCTTACCATGGTATTTTGATGGGATCATAAAGTACTCGACAATCAAAACGACTTAAAATGGTGTCTTGCAAGATGTTCTACTTCCCTCCAGTATATATGGTTTTCAGTGTACACCCAAAAGGTAGACAAGTTACAGACACTAATGTCATACTATTTACTTGACAAGCTGTCCTGCACAATTTACTGCTAAAATTAATTAAATCGGTATCATTTTTCCCTTTTACAGTTTACATCTATTTTTCATTTTTTAAAATATTTTTTTTTCTTTCTGAATTTTAATCAGATGTTCTCTTGGTCCAGTGAAAAGGGTATTGTGATAAAACAATACTTTGAGAAACCCTGGGGTATCCAACAAGGCACTGAGTGCCTTTTTTCCCCCATGAATCATCGTCATTGTCTTTCTCACCGTGGAACAGGGTACATTATTCTATGTCTTTCCACTTTTCTGTATGTCTCTTACCTTGAAAATTTCAATCGAACACTTCCTTTGCTATGTAATTTTCCCGACAAAACCATCATCAAAACATGACTTACATTCATGAGTCCCAGTAGAAACAGGGTGACTCTCAGACCAAAGGTACAGACAAATCTCAATATGATGGAGGCCAGCAAGGTTTTGAAGCCTAGAGGATGTGGGAAAAAGACGACGACAGCAGTGCAGATCATGACAGCACCCCACAACAGACCGTTGAAACGCAAGCCCACAGAGTCTGGGGAGAATAGAGGAAGATCATTATTAGTCTTTAGTGGTCATCATCACAGCAAACACTAAGAGTAGAAAGAGTTGGCACTCTGTACTTCTTTTTCTTCTGTATTCCTTGTTAGATCTTTGGGGTAGTAGAAAAATTGAAAATAAATGACTCACTCAAAGTACAATTTATTTTACATACAAGATTTAAATCGTTTAAAAAAAAGTGTCCCTTGCCAGAAAGACAGCTGTGTACTTTTTTCTAAAGGCACTAAATTTCTCTACACAGCTGAACAAACCAAAGATTTTTACTTAAAAAAAATCTTTTATAATTCTTGCTTGAAATCGAAGGAACACTATGAACGTGTTGAGACAAATAAAGATGTTGTACTTCAGAAAGCTAACACTATTATTATTTTTGTGTACATCTATACATGAAAAGCTCTATAAACAAATCACATCAAGTCCCAGATTTTCTTTTTGAATGGACTGGGTTTTTTTGACAGTATACTCTTTACTCCACAGTACTGGCCCACAAAAATGGAAGGGCCAAAGAAAATGCTTTACAAAAACCAATGCCACCTAAGTCTATTAAAAATTGAGGCGTATTGTTTTCAGCTCACTCTCCATAGAATGAGAAATATTACTAAGTAAGGATTTAATTTCTATTTTATGTCCATCACGTGAAATTGTGGAAAAAGGTACAAAATCTTCAATAACGAGTGCCACATTGATATGGCCGAGTTTTTAGTTTTAGTAAGAGTTTTACGGCACTAGAAACACAATAAGGTCATATAAGTGCCGAAGATTAGAGGTGTTACAAGAGAGTAACAAACACAAAAAAGAAGGAGGAGAGATCAGAATGATAGACGTTTGATAGGAAAGAAGGAGCAAACCACACCAGAGCACCCGCCAACCACCCACCTGGCAGAGTTTACAGTACAACTTTGCAAGTAAAAAAGAAAGAGAAAGGCATAAACAAAGTCTAAATCATTTTGTATTTTCAGAATTCCAAAGTTTTCAGAGAGAGAGAGAGAGTCAGTCAATGTCAGATATGGTCAATCAATGAGGAGATACTTACGGAAGTCCAGAGTGTCGTAAGGGTAGAAGATGGCCACAAGCAGGTTGATGATGACAGCACAGGAGAAGGTGATGCTGTTCCACAGACCCATGTGACTGCTGAACCAGAACATCATTGGTTGCACTGAGGGACACAAAACACAAACTTACTGTGAGAGAGAGCCCAGCTGTTTAGTCTTTTTTTTGGTTTTTTGTAAAGTGTTTTACGGCGCTCGCAACTGCATAAGGTCATATGAGTGCGCAGGACACACCTAATATTTTCCTTTTCAGTTGGTAGGAAATTTTGAATTTTGCCCAGGTGGCGGCAGAAGCCTACTCTTATAGATTTTAGACCACCAAGGGATCTTTAACGTACGCAACTTGCTCATGGGCCCTCCGAGATTTTTCGCCCTTGTCCGAGAAGGCTAGGTGTAGATCTTTCCTACCAGAAAATCAGGGGTGTGGCAGAAAGACAGCAGAAAGGAGGAGCCAAGGAGTAGCAGAAGAAAGGCTGCAGAAAGAATCAGGAGCCCAGAGGAGGGGGTAAAGGAGGTGAGGGGGTGAGAGCAGAAAGTGGAAATGAAAGCAGACAACAGAACATTGCTAGAGAGCAAGAAAAGAGATGAAAGGAGACAATTTTAGAGAAGAAAATTTTTCTGTCGCTACCCGGATTCGAACCCGGGACCTTAGAATGAGAGGCCAACACCTTAACCTCTAGGCCACGAGAGCCCCCTGCTGTTTTGTCTGTTTATTTGAATAAGTAATGAGAAAGGCATTGACATAATAACGGTCATACAGTGCAGCCAAAAAGTAAGACATAATAACGGTCATACAGTGCAGCAAAAAAGTAAGACTGTTTGACAGAAATAACAAAGGGAAAGAAAAGAAGTAGGACCTACCTTCAAACCATTTGCAAAATTATTTTTGTAGAGTTTAATTTTTTATGAGTTCGCACAACGGCCATCATATTTCTCTATGTAACTGATTGGGACAAAAATAAAACTGAAATGAAGTAGGAGGCTACATCAGAGCTGAACTTCATAGGGTTACACAGGAAGTTATTGTGTGGCTGTGTGGGGAAGATAGAGGACCGGCATCTGTAGTGTAGTGGTTAGGCTCTCTGCCACTGTGCACAGAAAAAGTGAATTTGATTTCTAATGAGGCTCTCTTTTCAGGTTTCTCCATTTGTCGGTTGGGACACCCTATACCATCGAGGCAAGGTTGACCCAGAGATGCAATGTTAAAGTATCCTGTCTACTAAATGAATTTAATTGTGTCGATAGGAGTGTTTAACACTTGTAATTTTAAGAAAAGGAGATGGGGTGTGAGCATACATTTTTATGCATACTTGAGTGCGTGTTTGCCTACGCTAGCTCTAAGTGACTTACTCCGCAGTTTTTTCTGCCATTTCATCTCGTTAAACATGTCGTTGTGCCGGCTGAAGAAATCCTGCACCTTGCTGCCCTGCTCATCACGCTCTGCACACTTAAACACGTTCAGCTTGGTCTCTTTGGTCAGGTACTCACAGATCTCTGGGATGGGGAACACGATACGCTCCATGGTGCGGTCCTGACGAACAATCTGGGGGGACACAGGAGTTAGTTGTTTGTGAAAACAGAATCACGTCGACACAGTTACAATCATTAACTGTTGGGAAAGAATAAGACAAATGTGAAAGAAGCAACAGGGGTACCTTAAAGAAGTACGGCAAACCAGAGGCACACTTCCAACCACCCACGGTGTAAAGTTGTTAAGTATTAAGGGCAATTACAATAAAGGCTACTTGTTTCAGTTTGTTTCTTTAAGTAAAGAGAAGCCCATCAACACAATAAAGGTCACTTAGTGCTGAGAAAAGGTATGACAGTGACAGACAGACAAACAGACAGAAATAAACAACAGAAGGAGAGTAAAGAAGTAGGATCTAACAGTGGCGCCCTCCAACCATCCACCAATAAAGGCTACATTTAGCAAGGACCAAATTAGAACTAAAGTACACATCACTGGTTTGCCAACATTTACCCTGGTCTGAGGACAGTTTTGAGACAGATTTACTACCCTGCACTTTTTTAGGGGGATGTGGGTGTGCCTTTAGAAATGTGTAGAATAACTGTACCCTTGCTCATGTAATTTCTGTTTGAATCTTGTATTTTGAAAAGACAAATTTGACAGTTTCCTTACCCTTGCAATCAGTCTGCAAGTGGTCAGTCCCTGAGAGAATGGCCATTTATCTCAATCTTTGTTTGCTTGTTCAAGTAAACAGAAGCACAATGACACAAAAATGGTCATTTAGAGCATGGAAAAAGTTAAGACAGACAGACAGAAACAACAAAGAGAAAGAAAAGTACTAGTAGCGCCCTCCATTGTCCTGTTTACCTCAATCTGTGCAGTGTGTTTGTGGTAGTACTCCAGGGCCTGGTCACCAAACAGATCGTTCCCCCCTGGACGTAACAAGTCAGCCAGCTCCTTGTTGTGCTGGGAGAGCTGGACACAGGACACAGGACTAGCTTGTAGCAACACTCAAAATTTATCGCACAATCATTCTATTCAATACAACACCTAGACGTAACTGGCACAAATAAAGTCTAATTCTGGTAGACAGTGTTCGGGACATGATTTTACAATGTGATGACATATTCTGTGAAATGAACATTGTTAAATCAAAAGTGGATTCAACAAAATGTGTTTACAAGTGCAAGAATGGAGTGTAAACCTGTGAAGAAAAATGGCCTTTAAGAACACTTTGTCTTTCTTAATCAAAACATTGTTCACTTCTCTATAAATTACTACACAGTCTTCTCAGTGTAAGTGAATTCTGAGGGGTCAACATTTCTATTGCAGGAAAATTGAAAACCACATTGTGGTATGTACACAACAGAAAAGCATTTTACAATTTTAAAATAAGTCTTCTGCTAGAACCTTTTGCCCCTTACTATAGTGCTTGTCTGTATATGAGAACATCAGTATGTAGTCGTTGACTTGTAAATGGGGGTAAAATTCCAGGTCTGAATGTTACACCCAATGTGTCAAGATGTTCATGTTGTGTCCTGCAGCATTATTGGACGAAATATTGTATGAATAAGTCCTGTGCCTAAGAGCAAGTCTGGGGGTGTGACATCATGTATGTTCCCACGGTTGTGTCTGTATGTCATACCTGATGAGCCAAGATATAGATGTTGTGTCCCACAGCTTTGGGGGAGGTGTAATTCTCTTCAACACCATCATCCTCATCTTCCAAATCGTAGCGGGCACCATCCTCTTTGCCAGGATCTTCTGAGTGGAAAGCCTGGATGGCAACGTCCATCTGTACATACACACAACATACAGAGCATTGACGCCTTCATACATAATAAATATGTCCTGAAAAGACATTAAGAATGTCATTGTAAAAACAAGTCTCCTTACTTGGACAAGAAGAAAATGTCTAAAGCTTTTTCTTGTACACACTGCTTTATATGTCATGACTGATACACACTGTACACACACACAGCCATAGGTGACAACAAATACTTTAGGACTAGGCAGTTGCATCTCAAAGTTACAAATTACAAGAACTGATATGATCAAAGAATAAATATTCAATCAAGTCTGAGCAATATGTCCTCTGTAATAATCTAGATGAATCAAGAAAACATGTGTTATTGTTAGATAATAAATTATATTGCGAAAGAGAAAAAAAGATAAATATTTAATTGACTACTGAGGAAAAAAATTTTTAGTTTGGCTTTTAGCTCACACCGGAATACCCTGCTCTACATGACTAGGATATTCATGAGGCAAGTTTGTTGACATCAGTGTCTGTTCTTTACAAAACATAAAGCTAGATTCATGTGCCTTGGTGTTGTTAAAGCACAGCTAAATTTGGTAAACACTGTATTGACAGTGGACAGAAGCATAGTTTAATTCTCCAATTTGCACTCACAGCAGATGATATAGTCAGCCCAATAACTACCACTTTTTCCAGGAAGACCTCACAAATAAAACCATGAGCTACATTTTAAGCAAATCTCCACCATTAAGAAAAGTTATGAGAGCTCTTCACAACAGAAAAAGAAACAACATGTATGATAAAGCTTTCCCCATGATCACAACACTGATGGCATGGTGAATCAGAAATACTGCAGTACCAAAAGCTAGTGTTCACACTACATGATGGCTACGTGATCACACTGACTAACATCAATAAACCAGAGCAGACAATAGAAACTGAAAATAAAAATCAACAGTCCACAGAGTCTATCGACAAAAAGGATAAGAAGAAATGACAGGAGATCGTAGCTAACAACGTAGGAATTCCCCCCCCCCCCTGAAAAGACCAACAAATAATAAATTTATATCAATCTTCCTCTATAAATCAAAGTGGCTCACGGGAGCATTTGTCAGACCTACACAGCACTAAAACCAGCGATACGAGAAATCTTCAAGGCAAACATCAACTCACACTAAAGAGTTCAGAGAAAGAAATCCAAGAACATACTCATATTCAGTAGAAGTGTTATGCAAAGCATATCCACATCTTCATTCGGCAGGGAGTAGATAGGACAACTCATGACCTCAGTTCTTTCTTGTCGTATCTCCATTTTTAATAACAGTGAAAACAGTTCATAATAAAGAGTGAACTTAAAAAGAAGTTGCATTTTTAAATCTTAGTAAGCGTTTTACGGCACTTGCAACACAATAAGGTCATATAAGTGCAGAAGAATAAAAGCATTACAAGAGAGTAACATACACAAAAAAGAAGGAGCAGAGATAAGGACGATAGATGTTTGATAGGAAAGAAGGAGCAAACAACACCAGAGCATCAGTCAACCACCCACAGTCGTATTTTCAATGTTTAAAAAAAAATGGAGATACGAAAAGAGAGCACTGGGATCGCGAACTGTGTCCTGATGTACAAAAAAGTCAGGGACATAATCATACTCTAATAACCAAGTTTGGTACAACTATCAGTTTACTCTTCCTCTGTTCTGTACAATGCTTCATAATAAACATGGAAGAATGGAGTCAATAACAGACTGTGCAAAAACCGTTTTACATTTGGTATAATTTTCATGGAGTGTTACTGTAAGGCTGTGAGGTCATGATACAAACAAGTCACGCTAAAAAGATGTGGAAGAGGTATGTCACATCAGAGTGTACCATAAACCACACACTCAACATAATATTATCTAAATAATGTTTCAGTACTCACAGACAATTAGCTCATAATCAGATAAGTGACCAAAAAGACAATGAATCGAAATAACACAATTGGCTACTACACAAAAAACAGCATCCTTAAGTTCATATCTCTGTGCATCATGGACTGTGATATCGCCATGGACTTCGTTCTCGGTAGCAAAAACAACACAAATTGTGACCACATTTAAAGCAGCACAGATCAACGGTGAGAAGAAAAAACTGAATCCGATCCAACGGATGAACGATACTATTAAAAAAAAAAAGAACTGCAACAGGTGGATGAGACAGTCAAGAAATACTTAAACATAAAATGCACACTGAAAGCTCAAACCCAAATGGAAGAGAACAGATAAATAGACCAGTGTAAGGAATACTAAACCAATGAAAGACTATCCTTGTTGACAGTTAATCATAAAAGCTGTTATTTACAACATCAGCAACTCATTAAAAGATAAAGCCATTTCTTCTGGTGGTGGTTTTGAATAGTTTGATTGAATACAAAGACTTTAAGACTAACAAAGGACAAAACAAAAGAATCTGAAACTGAAGTAACAGAGACTCCAACAACTGTTTCATGACAACTTTTAACTTCTCAATAAAAACCTACACAAAAGTTTTAAAAAGATATTCCCCCCGTTTTCAACAACTAGGCATGTGACACATAGTAAATCTGCCTACCCAACATCAAAAGCTGACAATGATAAGCGGCTACAAGAAATGGAGAATGACAGACCACAAGAACAACCTTGTTGACAGACTGCTACTATGTTAAGTTGTGCATAGAGGAACGATATGAAGGATCTAGTGGCACACAGAACTTTTTTTGTCTAATGACACACAGGGTCAGGAATGGGACAGGAGGACAGCTGAAGAGAGGTGTCTGAAGTTTAGTTTTAGCAAGCATTTTATGGCACTTGGAACACAATTAGGTCATTTGAGAGCCAAATATTAGAGGTGTTACAAGAGAGTAACAACCACAAAAAAGAAGGAGAGATTAGGACTATATATGTTTGTTAGGAAAAGAATGGACAGACAGATGAAACAGCTAGATAGATGAAAGATAAAGGGATAAAAACCCACACATACAACAGTCAAATCTCAGATAATTCTGTACAAACGCTTTAATCAGACTGTCAATTTGTAAACAGCACGTAATGGGTGACTCTGCCTAAACACTTACAGCTGATTGCAAAGACAGGACATGTAGGCACTAGTCAGACCTATCTTAATACAAAAGAAGCTATCCTAATACAAAAGAAGCTATCCTAATACAAAAGAAGAAGGTGACAAGTCACAAAGGAAAAACCTCGTAGATGCTCACAGCACAACCACACTAAGCAGCAAAGGGGATCCTGAGGTACATAGAACATGTAGCCCATGACACTTCCCGCACCTTGTGTCTCAAGGTGGGGGGTGGGGCGGGGCGGGGGGAGTGGTGTGTGACAACAGCCAGAAGAGAAAACACTGAACGAGACACAGTGAGACAGAGAGAATGGGGAGAAGGAGAAAAAAAAAACCTGCTCTGTGTCAGAGACCAGATCAGCAACCACATGGCCTGAGGCAACGGCCTGCTCAAACACTTGCTGAATACACTCCACCTACAGATGGGCCATTGTGGGGGTGGGGGTGGGGGTGGGTAGGGGTTGCAATATTGGTTTTTTTGTTGTTGGTGGTTTTGTAGTTTGGTGTAGGGGAAGGGGGGGGGGGGGGAGGCAGCAAACACAACACAGGTCAGTCAATCACTGAGACAGATGGTTAGACCAGGGCCAACAACAACGCATGATGGTCCTCTCCAAACACATACACATAGTAGCATCTATCGCTCGCAGTCACACACACACACACACACACACACATCAGCACCACCAAAACTGAACCAGCGTGCTGGTGACAATACTACCAGAGCGACCATTTAGCCACAGGAATCAACATGTGGGTACAGTACATTACCAAGTGTGCAAATGGCCACAAATTGCTTTTACCCCCATTTTTTCTCCTGCATTTTCATCTTTCTAGTCCCATTTACTAGTATGCTGTTGACACACTTCTGTCTTAGTAAAATACCTATTTCTGCTTAGTTTCACTCACTCCATGAAGTGGAGTCTATAACCAAATTCTGTATCTTATTTGATCGCCACAAGGCTGCCGAGTCAGAGGCCATTTGTTGTGTAGTAATGGTGAAGTCAACTCATCACAGAAAGCAGTCTTGTAGAAATTCCCCACTCCTACAAACATATGACAGGATAATTTACAAGGCAGAAGAGAAGAGTTGATATTTCGTTCACAGTCTACAGTGACTGAATAATTAACAGCAACATTCTGTCATTTTTTTTTTTAGTAGAGGGTTTTACGGCGCTCGCAACTGCATAAGGTCATATGAGCGCCAAGGGGTGGGTGTCAACAGAAAAGTCTTTACAGGGAATCAGACTTAGACTGCTCACCTCTCTAGCTTCAACAGCACAAGGTCTGCTTCGACTATCAAGGCACCCCGGAAATAGCAGGTCACAAGAGAGTGATAAACATACAAAACAAGTAGAGGAAAATGACAATAGCAAGGATCAGGAAAGAAAAAGCAGCAGTTCCCTGTTCTAGAACAGACACAGTTATGAGCGTGACACGAGTCAGCCCATTTACAATTCTACTATGATTGAACGAGAAATGTCCCCCCTTTGGGAATGGCCTACAGTCAGTGGCACTGCCCCGGGGGGTCACATTCTGTCATAAAGAAAAGGATAACAGTAACAAGTAAAAAGAAGGAATAAACTATGTGAGTGGGCGACCAACCACTAGCGTAGCAGAAAGTCATTGATGCTTAAAAATTTTAAGCTCTGCTAGTTGCAGAACAAATCCCTTAGAAGACAGAACAGCACAGAAGACCACTTTCTCAATGGGCAGGGCCAGATGGTTCCCAGCACCAGTATCAGGAGAATTAAGGGAGTGTGGGAAAGGGTGGGGTGGGGGTGTGGGGCGGGAATGCTTGTTACATTTAATGAGTTTTAAAGCACTTCTAATACTATTAGATAAGTGCAGGAAATTAGAGGTGTTACATGAGAGTAACAAACATAAAAAAAAAGGTAGAGGGAAAAGGACGATAGATGTTTGATAGGAGAGAAGGAGCAAACCACACCAGTGCACCTGCCAACCACCCACTGGCGGCAAGCAATGCCACACCCACCAGCTGTTTGGTTCTCATGTTGCTCAGGATCCTCTCGGCGTTCTCGCTATCGTGGCGACTCTCCATGATGGCCAGCAGCAGCTTGGACGCGTTGTTCTGAGGAAAATGATGGAACACATCACCGCTGTTGTTGTTGTTGTTGTGTTGTTGTGGATGATGTTTTAGTTTTAGTAAGCGTTTTATGGCACTTGTAAGACAATTAGGTCATGTAAGTAGTGAAGACTAGAAATGTTACAGGAGAGTCACAAATAGAAAAAAGAAGAAGGAAAGATCAGGACAACAGATGTCAGATAGGAAAGAAGGAGCAAACCACACCAGAGCAGAGAATCTTTGTTTGTTTTGTTGTGTTAGAGTAAAATAAAGCATACTTACAAAATAATGGTCAATTGGTGCTGGGTAAGACAGACAGACAGAAACAACAAAGGGAAGAACAAGAAGTAAGACCAGCCAGTGGCACACTCCATCTACCGCTTAGATGACAGTTGTAGTGTTGGGTGAGCCAGAAAAATGATGAGCACAGTAAGATAAGTACACACTTAGACGTTTGTAACACACCAGAGCAGCCCAAAACCACTGACTGGTGGCAATGCAACACTGATGTGTACCTTGAGTTCCAAGACAAGATCAATGCGGTTTTTGCCCAGGGACTTGATCTCTATGAGCAGCAAGGCCACAATGATGTCAATCCCGTTGCTCTCATGCATGGCTATGGCATTCTGTGGGAAGAGGGAGAAAGGGAAATGTCAAATGGGTTTTTGAGATGGTAAAAATGTTGCTTCTGTGAAACGTATCTCTGCGGTCATGATATATACCCAATCAATGGTCTAGTTTGATCTGAATTTGTGAACCTAAAGTTGCAGGGAAACTGTAAGACAGACAGATAGAAACAAAGAGGGATAAAAAAGAAATAGAACCTATGAGGGGCACACTCTACCCACATGTCTTACATAATCAAAGAACTTATTGTGCTCATCGCAACTAATAACATCTTCAAACACAATCATCAATGAGGGGCATGGCTTTTACCGAAAATTTTTTTTAGCTTTCCTACAAAGAACAAAAAAACCCTGCTGTCCTTAAATTCAAATTACCTCATCTCTTAAGATTCAGAAATATCCTTTGACAGCAAATAGAAAGAAAAAAAAACCCCTTCGTTTTGGAAATATCCTAGTACGCCATTCACATTATGTCATGTGTGTGTGTGTGTGTGTGTGTGAGTTTGTGTGTGTGTGTGTGTGTGTGTGTTTGTGTGCGTATGAGTGTGTAATAAGAGTATGTACACTCATAAAGTGTGGTGTGAGAGTGTGTTCAAACACACATACAGACATGAGCACTTGTGTGTACGTCCTTCTACCTGGTTCTCATGACATGGTCCCTGGCAGTACTCGGTGAGCGTGGTCAGGGCCTGGTTGATGAGGTCCACATTGTTCTCGTTGATGTACAGACCCAGTAGGCCTAGCCCGCCTGTGGTGCTGCCGCAGATACAGTCCAGGAACTGCAGGGTCTCACACACAAGGTTCTGAGACGACTTGCAGTTGGGCTGCTGGCGGAGGTAGTTCTGAAAACACATTTGGAAAACAGTTGATGTGCTGTTAGAAGTTTAAAAGTCCGTTTCAGTTAAAGAGATGCTTATCAAGATAATGGCAAATAACTGTCTGTAAGAAAAAAACAAAATAGTTCCCTGAGCATGCATGAAAGGGTTTGTGTGCATACCCTATGAATGTGTATGTGTGTGTGTATTCCTCCCTGGTATGGGTATATCCATGCATAATTCAGTGTGCAAGTATGAAGTACGAATTTTGACCATGAAAACTGTGTGTGTGTGTGTGTGTGTGTGCGCGCAAGCATGCAGTATGAGTTTTGTGTAAGACGATGTGTGTATACCTGCTTGGTATGTTTGAGAGAGCATGCGGCATGAGAGGATATGTGTGTCTGCCCGATGCGTGTCTGTGTATGTAATTTAATCATGTGTGAGTGAGCCTGATGGTGCCATTGTATATGCCAGGAAATCTGACCTGCAGATCTCGATTGTGGTTCTCACAGAGCAGCTGCAGGAACCTGAGGATTGGTTTCATGATGGCGATCTGCTGAGACATCTTCTTGTCATCGCTGTCATGCTTGGGACGCTCACTCTCCTCTGAGGCATGCTGACCTCCATGACCGCGGTTCTGAACACAAGAGACAAAGAGAGAGAAAGTTTGTTAGAGGAAAGAGAAGTGCACAGATGAAATAAATGTTATTTACAGCAGGGAAAAAGCAACTCAGACAAGCACACATGAGAAAGAAACAGAATCAGGCTTAAACAGAGACAAAAAGGGAAACACAAAGAAGAAAATTATCTAACAAAATGAGTAAGGCTGAGTTCAGTACAGGTAAAAGGGATAAAAAAAATTAAGACAGTAGAGAGTAGATGAATTCAATGGAAAAGCCACTCACAAAAGTGCCTCTCAGTTATACTAAGCAAGCCGTTTAGTCTTAATAAATATGTTTCTCAAAAAGGGTAGCCCCACTTCGACGTTTATCCACTTAACACAAATACTATGTTCCAGAACGGTTTACCGTTATCAGTCTAAGGACCCTCTGGTTTACACCTTCCCATCTGGTTCAAGGATTTCAGCGCTTTTTCTAGTACAAATACTAGGGTTACAGACACTTGCTGTATCGTGAACCACACAAAACATAGATGAAAAGAGCACAAACATTTATGCATTTAAAAAGGAAAAGTCTGAAACATAACATATTTCTGTAATCTGTGATGCTTCCAATGACACAACTCAGGTACATATTCACTGCCAGGAGTATTACAGCATACCTCATTGTCCTCATGCTCCTCCTCCCCTGCAGCCGAACGGCCATGGACCTGGCGTACATGACCAAAGGCTTTGTTGGTTTGAGAAGCTGCGTCGTCAAACTGCTGTCGAAGTTCGTCACTGACCGGGGCCTCAGATCGAGTCACTGAATACAACGAAGGAGGTTATCAATTCAGATGTCAGTGGTATAAGCGTGAAGGGGGCAGGAGGGAGAAGGAGACTTGTTAGTAACAGTAATTAGACAATAAGACCATAAAAATCCTTTCCATTCTTGGAATGGATTATGAAGCACCTCCAGACATTCTGCTTACTTCCAGTTCATTTCTACATTTATTTATAAATGTTCAACATACAGCACCTTGGGCTTCAAATGATTAGTTATGTTGTTAATACCGCTGAGCTTAAGTCTTTGGCCTAGTGGCACGTCGTAGTCAGTTCATTTCTTTTTAAGTCACGACACAATTTAGTACAAATGTTTCATTTTTGTTTAGTTTCTTTTTTCTGTCTAGTTACTGAACAATTATCATAGGTGAAGCTTGTAGAAAGCATACACAGAAGAAGGTCCAGAGCCATCACTAAATGCTATAACAATACAGTGAGATTCAAGCTTGCACAGCCAGACTTTTGCAGAAACAGCCATCCAGACAGACGGTGAGCCATCAGATGATATACATGGCATTCTAATCCCCTCACTCACAGCACATCTAGACAGGATCTTTAGAGGCTATGAGATGTCTTATAGATGAGCTACAGCTACAAACAAACAAACACACACACACACAAGGATGGCTTCACACAGGGCCAGTATGGTAGGTTATCTATTGCAGTTAATGATGACAGTAAGCTGAAGGCAACACACCAGATCACACAAATCAGGGAGAAATTTTGCCATTCACAAAGAGGTCGGTCTGAGGAACAATCCAGATTATATACCATCTAGAGGCTGCAAGAATTTGTGAGAAGTAACATACAAACCTTCGGGAAATAAATATATATATGTGTTAAGATCAACTGTTCGAAATATAGAAAAGAACACCAAAATCACAAAAGTAATCACTCAGTACGAGAAAAAAGAAACATGACAGACAGTGATAATGGAAGGACAGGACAGACTGACAGACCACAGGGTTCCCGCTGAGGCAGAGATCTACAGGCAGGAAACATTTCAGAGGGTCCTGTGCACTTTGTTGCCACAGGAGAAGCTCAAAGCTGTTCTGCTAGAGAATAATGTGTAATATGAGCGGCTCTGTTACACACAGGCCACATATTGTAGTACAGGCACAGCCACAAACTATATAAACTATACAAGGCCAATAAAAAGATTATGTGCAAAGGAAAGAAAAAACAACAACAACAAAATAACTAATAAAGTAAAAATAGAGGCTGAAATCAGTCAAAGAAAAGAAAAGTGTCCCTTATAAAAGTTGGGGAGGAGAGGGGGCGGGGTTGTAGGCACAGGTGGCCCGTGTTTCAGCGATAGCAGCCTGAGAATGTAACATATTCCTATCAGGCTAATCAGATTCAACCATTCAATGAGAAGTGCACAGCCTTCATCTCCTTTCCTCCCTTCATACCCCCCCAATTGCATCCCAGCGTCAGGTCCGTATGGCCCGAGAAGGACAAAATCAGAGACAATCATACTGAAATTCAAAGGAAACAATCCTAAGAAATACCATCACATTAAATTATGCTGTTTTCCTTTGCGACTGTAGGAGACTTTTTAAAAGTGAATGTTTGACTGTCATGTGTCAGCCTCTCCGCAGTCGTTATAATGCTATTGTCCCATGGCATTCACAACAAAAGCAAAACACCTCTAACTTTTATCAGAAGAAATGATTCAAGAGCTTAGGCATCTCACAGACAAGAGTAATGGTAAAACAAAGCATTCATAGGTATCTCGAAGCAAAATTAAGTTACCCTAACCTTAGGGAGCACAACAGACAGCAGTTTGTGTCCTCTGTACAACAAGCATTCACATGCAACCCATGTCCAAAACAACAAACAAACGAGCAAACACACATGGTTTCAACTCGCGCGGAAATTTGTTAAGAACTAGACCCTGGACACAAGGCAGCTGGTTCTTTGTGAGGAGACAAAACTCATTAAGTCGGTGAAATTTATCCAAAAAAAGAGAATTATGTTTTCAATGTGAAAAAAATGAGAAAAACAAAAAAAAATCTGCCCAACTGTTTATGATGGTAGCTAATTTAGAAACTGTTTTATGTGATAGAAAATACAATATGTGACAACAAACTCTACAGAAATTTGAAGGAATTCTCTGCACTTATGAAACTGTGAGAAAAGATGGGAAAAATATCCATCTGATAAGACTGTCATGCTTCAGCATATAAGGGCTGAACATTCAAAAGGTCTATAATAGTGCGAAAGAAAAAGCAAGTCTTTAAAAAAAAAAATGTCCCTATCAGGCAACTGTTTCTGCTTAGTGTGATTACTAAAAGCAATAGATACAAGAATAAATCTAATTTTTAACGATTTAATGCATAATGAAAGTGTTCAAGTGAACTACTAAAGAGACAAGAAAGTGTGTTAGTGGGTATAATGGAACAGTGGCAGAGCTTGGCACAACTGTGGCAGCAATTGAAAAACAAAACAACAAAAAAACCGTTACACTCATAGCCATCCAGCTCTCCAGTCCTCCACTCTGCTTCCTCTGCATCTTCAGGACAGAGTGGGGAGAAAAAAAATAAAACAAAACACAAAAAGAAAATCTAGCACAAGTACTGCAAAAAAGTTAATGTTAAGCAAAGACACAACGTTTGTCAAAAGCTTGAAATAATTTGAAATAAAACAGGATGGCTTTTTCACAAACCAGGAACAACCTTTCCAGTGTGAATGCAGAAATTAAATTCCACATCCTTAAGTTTTGGGAGGACACAATGCACTACAGTGAAAGAAAGACATGGCCCTGTAGTCGGATTGAAAGACCTAAACCTCAGTGTTTGTGTAAAGGTTGCTTGTGTCAATATGGGTATGCAGTTGCATAAACTATGATAAACACAGCACTCACTCGGTGGCTGACTTCTGTGCAAAATTATCCAATGCTGCTAGTTTGTGCATGTGCATTCTGGACACAAAAAGCCGGAGAAATAACTAGAGACTAAAATATTTCCCTGTCCATTATTGGTTACAACCCTTGTCAAGAAAGACAAATTTTCCTTTTCAAAGTACGTCATTTTTTCGCGTGAACATCCTTTGACAAGGAAAAAAATCTGTGTTATTAATCGCAATCCTGTGACTCTCACACTTCATTTATCTGTGTGCGAGTGACAAAGGAAGTACAGTCATGCTTTAGTCTTCACACATGTGAGAGAATGGAACAAAGTCATCACAGTAACAAGGATACCTGAACTAACAGAGGTATCGAAAGAAAATCAAAAGTTAATACAGGTATGAGCTAGAAGATAAGTCAAGACTTTACAGGTCAGAAAGCTGGGGGAAAGGCGACAAATATCATTTAACCTTAGAGCAACCCCAAAGGAGCAAGAAGGGCTCAGTGTGTCTGAAACAGCTAGTGAAAAATGTAAGTGAAGCACAAATAATACGTCCTTAATGAAATTGGAAAATTTTTAAAAACGAAAACTGCAACCATGAGAAGATGTGGGGGGGG